ATATTCAAGGGCAAGTTTCAGAATCTCTTCTGACATTCACTGGGTGTTTTCTTTCTTTCCTTTTTAATGACCTTTTGCTCTCTTCCTGTATGATTTCTTGATATCATCCCACAACTCGTCTGGTTCAGTCATTAGTGTCGAATATATCAAATCTGTTCTTGAGCTGGTCTGTAAATTCAGGTGAGATATACTCAAGCTTATATTGACTTGTAAACATTTTAGTGGACTTGTAAACATTTTCTTCAACTCCAGGTTGAACTTGCATATGAGCAATTGATGTTCTGTTCTGGTTAGTCCTTGGCTTTATTATTTTGGCTGATGATATTGAGCTTCTCCATCACCTCTTCCCATAGATGGAGTCAATTTGATTCCTGTGTGTTCTATTTGGTGAGGTCCACATGTATAGTCAACATTTACGTTGTTAAACAAAACGGTATTTACAATGAAAAAGTCTTTGGTCTTGCAAAATTCTATCATTCGATATCCAGCATCATTTATGTCACCAAAGCCATTATTTTCCAACTTTCAATCCTTCCTCTTTGTTTCCAACTTATGCATTCCAATCACCAGTAACTCAATGCATCTTGACTGCATAGTTAGTCAATTTCAGACTGAAGAAGTTGGTAAAACTCTTCAATTTCATCATCACTGGCTTTAGTGGTTGATGCATAAATTTGAATAATAGTGGTATGAACTGGTCTTCCTCGTAGGCCTATGGACATTACCCTATCACAGATAGCACTGTACTTCAAGATCATGAAATGCTCTTTTTGGTGATGAAGGAGACATTAAGATTAGGTTGGTAGTCCAGTGCAAACTGTACCTATGATGGAGCTAATCTGTTATGCTAGTTCAGTGTGGCTGGAATAAAGAGAGTGAAGGAGAAGACAGAGATGAGGTAGGGGGATAATCAAGGTCAGATGATGTAGGGTGCTGTGAAGGAGATTGTTGTTGTTAAGTGCCATCAAGTTGATTGCAACCTATAGCAACCCTGTATAGGGTTTCCAAGGAACAGCTGGTGAGCTTGAACCACTGACTTAGCAGTTCAAACTATTTTGCAGTCTAATGCATTAGCCCACAGCGCCACACCAGGGCTCCTGAAGGAGACTAGACACTATCAAAAGGTACTGGAAAAATCACTGAAGGGTTTTAGGCTTAGGAAAACTAGTGTCTAGGTGTTTTTTTTTTTTTAAAAAGATCACTCAGGAACCATAACTTTATATCGGAAAAGGAACAACTACTTTACTTATATTAAGGTGGCGGTGGTGGTGATGTGATGTGGAGTTGGTTCCAACTTATAATGACCATTCATAGGGTTTCCAAGGCTGTAAATCATGACAAGAGCAGAAAGTCTCATATTTCTCCCATGGAATGGCTGGTAGCTTTGAACTGCTGACCTTGAGGCTAGCATACCAACTCTTAACCATTGTTGTTGTTGTCAGGTGCCATCAAGTTGGAACCGACTCATAGCGACCACATGTACAGCAGAACGAAACAATGTCCGATCCTGGGCCAACCTCACTACTGCTGCCACACTTGAGTCCATCAATGATGCCACCTGGCTGATCCATCCCGTTGGGGGTCTTTCTCTTTTTCTCTGACCCTCCATCTTACCCAGCATGACATCCTTCTCCAGCAACTCTTCCCTCCTGACAATATGTCCAAAGTATGAGAGACGAAAGAGGTATAATTAGCAAATGTTAGGGCACAAAAGAATTGAACTGAGCTACTCTCTTTTCTTCCCTTTAAAATAACTCTTCCTCCCAAAAGATAACCACTAGCATCTCCGTTATGAATCCTTTTTGGTCCTTTCTCACCACCTCACTCCAATATTCACCTTTTGAACTTTGTCTTTGTTAATTCACCCACTTATGTTATAAGGTTATGTTAGTCCCTCAAGGAATAAATACTTTTCCAACAAGGAAACTCTTCAGACCAGACAATTTGGTGCATCTCACCAAGCACATGCAATTTGAAAGGTTAACATACCCTTCTTGTGCCCTTTCTATTGGCATTCCTGAGCTGGTGTCCAAGGAGCGCTGGTGGCTCTTGTGGCTAAAGCGTTCAGCTGCCATCCTAAAGGTTTCTCAGATTATTTGCTTGGCATACAGATTGAATAAGTATGGTGAAAGAATATAACCCTGGCACAAACCTTTCCGGATTATAAGACATTCAGTATCCCCTGGTTCTGTTTGAATGACTGCTTCTTGGTCTATGCATAGGTTTCTCATAAGTGTTCTAGAATACTCATTCGTCTCAATGTTGTCCATAGCTTGTTATGATCCACACAATCATGTGTGGTTTTTTGCATAGTCAATAAACAATAAGTAAGCATATTTCTGGCATTCTTTACTTTTAGCTAAGATCCATCTTACATCAGCAATGATATCCATAGTTCCACATCCTCTTCTGAATCCAGTTTTAGTTTCTGACAGTTCCCTGTTGATGTATTGTTGTAGACATTTTTTAATTACCTTCAGCAAAATTTTACTTGCATATAATATTAATGTTATCCCACACTCCATGGGGTCACCTCTCTTTGGAATAAGCACAAATATGGATCTCTTCCAGTCAGTTGGCCAGGTAGCTCTCTTTGAAATTTCTTGGCATAGACAAATGAGCAACTCCAGTGTTGCATCAGAAAATATTTCAAATTTTTTTCTGTCAATTTCTGGAACCTTGTTTTTTGTTGTTGTTGTTTTTCTAACACCTTCAGTGCACCTTGGATTTCTCCCTTCACTACCATTGGTTCTTGATGATATGCTGCCTCTTGTGCCTCTTGAAATGGTTGAACGTCAACCATTTCTTTTTGGAACAGTGACTCTTGTCTATTCCTTCCATCTTCTTTTGATGCTTTCTACATCATTCAATATTTTACCCATGGAATTCTTCAGTATTGCCACCCGAGGCTTGAATTTTTTTCTTCAGTTTTCAGCTTGAGAAATGCTGAATGTGTTATTCCCTTTTGGTTTTCTAACTCCAGGTCTTTGCACATTTCATTATAATACTTGATTCTGTCTCCTTGACCTGCCCTTTGAAATTCTCTGTTCAGCCTTTTTACTTTCTCATTTTCTCTATTCACTTTAGCATCTCTATGCTGGAGACTCTTCTGACATCCATTTTGATCCTTTCTTTTTTCCTGTCTTTTGCTTTCTTCCTGTATGATGTACTTAGTATCACCCCAAAGCTCTTCTGGTCTTCAGTCATTAGTGTCTAACGCATAAAGATTTGTGGCGCTGTAAGATAAACACTGACGTTCTGGTATGGCACTGTAGGATAAGCACTCACCACAAGGTCAGTTTGAACCACAATTTGGGCAGTTCAAACTCACCAGCTGCTCCTTGGAAAATGTATACAAGGTCATTATGAATCAGAACTGACTGGAAGGCACCTGTTGTTAAGTGTCGTCGAATTGATTCCAACCCATAGCGAGCGACCCTGTATAGGGTTTCCGAGGAGCAACTGGTGAGCTTGAACCGTCAACCTTACAGTTCAAATGGCTTTGCAGTCTGGCGCATTAACCCACAGCGCCACACCAGGACTCCTGAAGGCACTTAGCAATGCATAAAGATTTACAGCCTTGGAAACCCCAGGGTGCAGAGTTCTACTCTGTCTTATGCCTATATTCACTATGAGTCGGAATTGAATTGATGGCAATGGGCTTGCTTTGTCGTGGGAGTTGATATCCCAGTGGAGGCTGGTACTAAATGTTCCCACCATGGAAACAGAAAGCTGGGAAAGGATTTGAGGAGTGAGGGCAAGTGAAGAGTTGAAAAGGACCAGAACAGTCATGGAGGTGTTTTGGCTCACTTGTGTTTTCATCCGTCAGGTGGTGGTAAAGACACGGGCCAGGCTTTTAGAAATGAATATTCTTGGACAATGAGCAATGCGTCCTTTAGTAACTGCAGAGGCTAAGCCAAGGAATACACATGCAGAGCCTGGCCGGCAGGAGTTTGAGAAAAACAATTATCTGCCAGCTTTTTAGCCCAAGCGCTCGTGTCTGATAAGAAGCTGGTATGATGCCATTTGGCTGGGTGGCTGGGATCCCCACTATGAAGGTGGAGTGGTCTTTTTTTTGGGCGGGGGGAACAACTCTCTTTGAACTTTTGGGCTAAATTTCTGCCCCCGTTAAAGGTGGGCTGCTTTACCCACTGGAAAACGGATGCCATGTGCAGCCTCCTCCCCACTCTGTAAGGATATTTCTGTTGCTTCTGTGAGTGAATGCAGAAGATGAGTAGGAGAGGTCGCAAAACAACGCATGCTTGCAGTGAAGGGCACCACCGGCTGCATGCAGACAGGGTCAGAGGGCACACAGGCATTTCCTTTTCTTGCCTCCGTCTCTGGAAAAGAAAGGCAAGTCATGGAAACCTGGACCATGCATGAAGGAAGGCCATTTCACTCCCCTGCCATTCAGGGTTGTTTTCTCAAAGGCATTTTAAGCCGAGAAGGCAGTGGTTTCCAAAGCTGCACCTCCCAGAGCAGCATTTTCCCTTTCTGCCCCAGAACCACCCTTTTCTTCACTTCCTAATCTGCATGCCTTTTCCCTCTGCTTACACTCGCGAATAGGTCAAGCTTGGAATAGGAGCAGTCAGTGGTGCAGTGGGTTAATCGTTAGACTCACCGGTTCGAACCCATCAACTGTTGTCTACATCCCTAAAGATGGCAGCTTTGAAAACCCTATGAGTGCAGTTCAGCTTTGTCCTACAGGGTCGCTATGACCCCGAATGAACCAGATAGCAGTGGGTTTGGTTTTGGGCTTGTAAAAAATGTCTCTGGCGCCGCTCCCATCCAAGCTCCACAGGAAAGCCCCTGAAAGGTTCACACCTCAGTCCCGGTTTCCGTCCGTCGTCACAGGGTGCACAGATAGGGTACCGCTGAGACCGCTCCCAAGGCAACGATGCGAGGACGCGAGTTGAGAGGCCGACTGGGCCGTGGCCCCTTTAAGGCCAGGCCACGCCCCTCCCCTCCACTCAGCGCTGCCGTCGCTCGGTGGCGGCCGCTACGGTGCTGACAAGATGGCGGCTGGCGGGGCTGTTGCTGCGGCGCCAGAGTGCCGGCTTCTGCCCTACGCGCTACACAAGTGGAGCTCCTTCTCCTCTACCTACCTTCCCGAGTGAGTGCCGGGCCCGCGGCTCATGCCGTCCGACTCTTCGTCTCGAGCACGGCCGGACCGGGGGTGCAATGGAGGGCCCCCGAGCCAAGAGGCCCAGGCGGGGCCTGCCGAGGGGACTCGCGGCCTCCGGAGTCTCTGTGCAGCCGCGGAGCGCCGTGGGCGCCCCCGCCTTAGGGAGGCCCGAGGGTCGGGGGAGCGCGATCGGGGGCGAGGTGGGCGGCGGTCTGCGTGTGGGGTTTGCGGAGACTTGGAGGCGGGGCGGGAATCGGAGCTTTCGGGGTCCCGGCGGCAGGCGAGCGGGTGGAGACGATGTGGAAGGAAGGTCGGGGCTCGGTGCCGGGATTGAGCCAGTGTTCCTGGGGTTCGTGCAAAGTGATGAACTCCGGAGGAGTAGCTGCAAAGTTGTGGCCTGGCGAGTAGGGAGAGACTATAACGTTTGCTCAGGTTGTCTTCTTCTGGCTGGGGGTTTGATACAGCCGGGCAGGGAAGGAGACAAGTGACCAGGGAGGGACGTTAGAGAAGAGCTCAGTTAGCCGACGGCTCCTCGACCTAGCGGGTTCCCTCCAGGGGCCGGCAGACGAGTCTGACCTTAATGAATTTGACCTCCATCACCGACATGGTCCGCATCCCTGAAGGAGGTGCTAGAACGAGCTCCTTGTCACTTCTGCCTTATGTTTATCTGTAGCAACTTCCTCCTTCTGAAATCCTGGAAAGCCTCTTCACATGATGCACCTTATTTAGCGTATCTTTGAGGGAAGGAGCAGATGGAACTCCAGTGCCCCGTACAGATGGAGAAACGAGCCTAGGAAAGTTTTAAGCTCTCGGCAGATCCTGAAGAAAGTTGCTTATGTCCCCTCTCAAAGGGATTTGATGAGTTACAAACACAGCAAGTTCTAGAGCATACCTTTTTCTATCGCTAAACATAAAGTTTACGACCAGACCCTGAAGAGTAGTCCAAGAAGCTTGCCACCTATATTTCAAAAAGCTCTCCCCAAATTGGATTTCTCTTGGCAGGTCATTCAGGTATCTCCAAATGGAGCTGTGACCAAAAGCATGTGACTCTGGACTGCCAGTCCATTGTCCTTTAACCTTCAGTAAGGGTTTCAGTGGAGGGTGCCAAGTGACCTGTGGTCTGGTCTGGTCTGGTCAGTGTGGCCTGTTGATGGTTGCTCCATGACCATGTCCCTGACTAATGCAGAAACTTTTCATTTGAGGGCGAGCCAGGTAAACATTCTAGCCCTCCACTGGAGTTGGAATATGGCCCTGGGCAGTGATCTCTGATTTTCTGGACTAACATGTTCATGAGTCAGTACCTAGGTGAAGATCCAATTGTTGGGAATTCAGGTGGCCTTGTTTGATTTGGTGACATTTCCCTGATCCAGAGTTTGGTTACTTCCAGGATTTCACTCCTTAAACTTGTAGTGGAGGGAAGAGACTTGGATGTTGTTGCTTGTTCCTGCTGCGTTATGAGGGGGAAAAACAAGTGTACATTTCAAGCAGGAAATGATTTAGTGGGGTGGGGGGTGGTTCCGACTCATACCCACCCTTGTATAGGGTTTCCGAGGCTGTAAATCTTTATGGAAGCAGGAAGCCTTATCTTTTTCCTGTGGAACCATTGGTAGTTTCAAACTGCTGACCTTGAGGTGAGCACTTTAGTGGGGTAGCAACTATGTTTATGACTTGGAGCTTGTTACCTGACCTGAACTAGACAGAGAAGGTAACTGGTTGGGGAGATCACTTTACTTCTCAGAGCACCAGTGATATACTTTTCTCAAATGTCCATTTTGTTAAGTACCCTCCAGTCAGTTCCAATTTAGTGACCCTGCGTAGGGTGTCCGAGGAGCAGTGGGTAGGTTTGAACCGCCAACCTTGCTGTTAGCAGCACAGTGCTTATCCTGTAGTGCTACTCCAGGCAAACATGTTGGTAAAATAGCACTTAGAGATGCTTTCACTTCCACTATTTTATTACTCCTCATAACTTTCTGGTGACACATGCAGTGTAGCCTTTTTTGTTTTTGTCTTTTAATGCACTAAACTATTATAAAAGCAATCTGAACTTGCTTCTTTGAAAGGAACATAGTTGAAAATTATGGAGCTTGATTTTTAGAGTTTTGTATCTGCGGGGTTGGTATCTTCCATGCCTAATTTGTGAAACTTTCTGGGTCCTGAACTTGTATTAAGCAAGTAAGGATGCTGTACGTTCTGTGTGACAGGTGTTTAAGAAGAAACTGACTGTCCTTATTGTATAAAACCCTCTCTGTCAGAAATTGCTATATGTTTACTGACAATGCAGCCATGTTAAGGTCCTTCCTTCACAGGTTTAATTGTAAATAAACATTTGTTGAAATTTTCTACAAAGTGTAAAATATTTTTTAAAAGTACAAATCTAGCTGTTTCAAAAGGCTAATAACAATGGTAACACTTTAATGTGCCTTCTATATGCTGGTCTCCTCTAAACCCTTTTAAGTTTATTAAATAATTTAATCCTCGTAGTAGCCATCCTGTGAGGAATCTCCATTGTCTAGATGTGGAAGGGCACACAAGGAGTCCTGGTGTGGTGCCGTGGCTAATGCGCTGGATGGCGAGGTCGGCCATGGAAACTCACCAGCCTGCCCTTGGAAACCCTATGCAGGGTCATTATGAGTTGGAACTGACTCAAAGGCGCTTAACAACAAGGTCCCACAAAGGAGCCTTGGTGGCACTGTCGTTAAGGCACTCTGCTGCGAACTGAAAGATTGGTAGTTGGTACAGTATACGTCCTTAAAGATCTAGCGTTGGAAACCAGGGGGGGAAGCTCTCATAAGGATAACCATGAGTTGGAATTGGCAGTAATGGCTTGTGTGTGTGTGTGTGTGTGTGTGTGTGTGTGTGTGTGTAAAAGTCACACAGCTGGACGGACCCAGGACTTGAACCCAGGCAAATCCCTATATTCAGTTATTTACTGTAGCAACTGATGACTGTTGTTGTTAAGTGCTGTTGAGTCAGTACCAACTCATAACTAACCCTGTATAGAGGTTCTAAGCAGCAGCTGATGAGTTTGAACCGCCGACCTTATGGTTCTGAATGATCTTGCAGTCCAGTGCTTTATCCCACAGCGCCACAGCAAAAAAGAGGAAGACCCCCAACGCAGTGGATACATAATGACTGTAACCAGGGCCTCAAACCTAACAATTGTGAGGATGACACAGGACTGTTCAGTGTCCTTCTGTTGTGCTTAGAGTTGCTGTACATTGGAGCATATGCAGTGGCACCTACCTACCAACAGCACTGGTGGTGATAGCTGTAGTTTGCAGTATCTACTGTTTGTAAGGTGGTTTTTGTAGATCCTGGTGTGACGCTAACGTGCTGGACAGTAAGATCGGTTTGAACCGCAAGTTTGGTGGTTGTTTCACCAGCCACTCTTCAGAAACCCTATACAGGGTCACTATGAGCTGGAACTAACTCGACTCGATGGCACTTAATTTAATTTAATCAACATTTAATCCTAAACACTAACATGTAAGATAGGGTTTCCAGTCTGTTTTGCAGATGAAGAAACTGATGTCCATACAGGTTCAGTAACTTGGCCAAAGTATGATTGCAGTGTTTAGAAAATGCCACAGCTTCGGAGCATCTTCTGTAGACACTATGCTGAGCACTTACATGTGTTCTTTCATTTAGTCTTCACAGACACTCTATGAAGTAAATATTACCATTCTGTTTTACAGCTGGGGAAACACAGAGTCAAAGAGTTAAAGTAACTTGCCCAGTGTCTGAGAGTTGAAATTGTAGGAGATAGGTTTTCAGTTTGGGGCCTTCAGATTCTGTTGCAAAAGCTACTTCAGTATTTTACATGACTGTACTATATGTCTTTAGGAATAAAGATAAAAAGCATTATAGAAGTTTTACAACAGTGAGAGAGTAAGATACTCAGATATAGCTATATTTTATCGTGCATGTAAATTCTTAATGCATTAATATGAAAACTGTGAGTACCCCTGAAAGTAATTTCTACACGTTATGCAATTTGATTCTTATGGGTTGATTATCTTGTTTACATATTATTGGCTGACTTAAACTTTTTAGGAAGTAAAATTTGATGATGCATTTTCAATTATGTTTGCCTTTCCCCCCTCTTTTAAGTCTTTGTTACTTACTTTTATGGACATAGGATTCATGGTTCATAGTAAGAGTGACAGAATTTGACTAGGTGCATCTATTTCCAAAACGAAAACTCCAAACCCGTTGCTCTGAAGTCCCTTCTGACTCCTGGCGTGTGGTACAGAGTAGAGCCCCATGAGGGGTTCATGCCTGCGAGCTTCCTTCTAAGGCGCTCCAAAGTTCTAACTGCCATCAAAACTTTAGATTACTAGCCAAAAGCGGCTAGGAATCCAAGAATCTACTTTAAAATTTAAATTTGAAATTTAGTATTTGAAAAAGAATATATGCATAGGGGTTTCAAAACATTCATGGGAAATTTCTGTGTCTGGTTTTCCATAAACTTTCTGAAGCCTCCTCATATATTATTTGTAATTGCAAAGAAAAAAAATCCCCTAAATTTATTATGAAATATTTTGAAAATACGACCCACAGAAACTATCTGTGGGTCATTATCCTTAATCCAACTATGCAAAAATATAGCGAATTATCCTTTTGGTATGTGTCACCCTACATCTTTTTCTGTGTCTCTGTGTAGTTTTCAAATGGTATTACTCTCTATGTGTAGTTCTTTGTTTTCTTTTTTCTTCGTAAATCAAAATCCAAACCCGCTATCCTTGAGTAGATTCCATCTCGGTGACTCTCTAGGGCTCAGTGGAACTGCTCCCTAGGTTTGTGAAGCTATACCTGTCTATGGTGGAAGCAGACGCCTCATCTTCCTCCTTAGGAGCCCTTGACCTTTTGGCTAATAGCCAAACACTGAACCCACCAGCACACCTTTTTGCTTGTTAGGTTTTGTTGAATTGGTTCTGACTCCTAGCGATCTATCAGCAATAGACAGTAGTGTCTAGTTGTGCAGTTGT